TGTTATGTGTCTGTATTGTCTAACGTATTGTATGTCATTGTCTCTCAGGTACTCTGATCATTGTTCCTGCTTGAATGTAATTAACGTCCCGGAGTAGAGAAACAAATGAGCGTCATCAAACTTCATTTGGCTCCACCGACGATTATTTCTGGTTCTAAACGATTGTTTTTTACGCACGTGCCGATATGATGTTTGCTGGCAGCGAGCAAGAGATATCAAACCTATTGCAAAACATCAAATTGTGGATAAATTCCAACATATTTCATTTAATGTCTTTGAGAGGCTACCTCTATTCTAAAAACGACCGTGGCTTTGCTTCCATTCACAGAGCTTCTACGGCAATGCGGGGTGGTTGAATTAATCCGTTACAGTTGCTTTAAAAGAAGTATTGTCATAACTTCACATTTTTAACAAACGAATCAAGTGGGTCAATTGTTGGCTTGCCACTTCCCGTAGCTTGTAACCAAAAACCACAGAGATATTGATCAATTAAGTGTATATCCCGTAAATACACGGGATTCAGCCACCGGGCCGGCAGTGGGTCCTGCGGGCCCTAAATACACAGGAATAGGCTCAAGCAAGTGAATTAAAAAAGCAATTGATGTTGCAAATTACCATCATGTGCTTCTATTATCTCACACATGGTCCAATGAACTATGCACCTCCAAATTTTCTACAATCTGCTAGCACTTTAGTGCAAAATTTGGGATAATCCGGTTTTGGCCCGAACGATAACTCAGGTAGTTTGGATTTTGGCTCTAGTGGACTGGGGGGGGGGGCATGGTGGAGTATGTTATGTGTCTGTATTGTTTAACGTATTATTATGTCATTGTCTCTCAGGTACTCTGATCATTGTTCCTGCTTGCATGAAATAAAGGTCCCAGCGTAGAGAAACAAATGAGCGCCATCATACTTCATTAGGCTCTACCGACGATTACTTCAGGTTCTAAACGATTATTTTTTTATGCGCGTGCCGGTATATGACGTTTGACGGGCAGCGAGAAAGAGATATCAAACCTAATTGCAAAACATGAAATTGTGGTCAAATTCAGGGAGACATGCCCACCTGAAACCCCCCATATCTTTATTAGGATAATAAGGTCAGGAAACCCCCCTTGTTAAAAACAAGTGAAATATTGTCTCATTTTGTACTGGTAAAAAGAGCAGTGCATCTCTTACTCTCTTTCGAATAAATCGTCGATAAGCCCTACCGAATATTTAAGTCAGTATGGATATCCAGTACTCTTGGGGCCAAAACCGGAGAAAGCCTAAAATTATTGGTATTTTTATAGAATCACTCCTGACTCCCATCTCGCAGCCGCTATCCATACCGGTTTTGTTTTTTCATTTGTTCAAGTATGCTTAATTTTATTTTCATAGAGCCCCCCTGAAATAACCATTTGTGACCTTTGTTAGTGCCAAAATCGTGTTCAGGGCCCTAAACAAACCCCGAAAAGGCTACAAAATAACACCCTTTATAAGATAGGAGTGATTTTATAAATTAATCAAATTGGTAAAAGTCATTCATCTTCAGTTTTAAGTTTTAGATAAACTGGACAAGGCAAGGGACTAGTTGATCATTAGTTTAGTGATAGTGGGGGAGGACTGATTTTTAAAAAAATTTGGAAGGAATTCCGTAACGAGCAACCACTGTGAAACAAAGCCAGGGGCGGATGGCACTCATATGACCTTTGATGCAGTTGCGAACGCCGTAAAACCTCTACTAAAACTTTTTAAAACCCTGGGGCTGTGCCACTGACTGAAATGTCTTTAGGCCATTCCCAAAGGGGGGACATTAACATTGTCTTTCATGTTCAGTAGAATTGTAAATGGGCTGATTCTTCATCAATGTCATGCTCAACTGTGCCTGAACTGCAACGGGGAACTGCTGCTTTTTCTTTCCTAAATCCTTACTATCACCATTCTTCCTCTACTTCTTTCGTATGTTTTTGTCACACTCTTTAATCTTATGACCCGCTATTTCCAGGGTGGACAGTCGAAGCACACTTCGTGCTGTTGAAGCCAGAAAGGGGAGTAGAGTAACCCTATTCCCTGTAAGATATACTTCTCTGATGACATTATCCACCCCTTGGCCCTCATATATATGACCTCTATGCAGCTGCGAGCGCCGAAAAATACTAAAACTAACAAAAGACGGTTAGCGTTTGGGGTAGGGGTAGGGTTTAGGGTAGGAGTAGGGGTAAGGGTAGGGGTTAGGGGTTGGGCCAGTGTTAGGGTTAGGTCTCTTCTATACAGTAGGGTAGGTTGGGACAACTTCGTCAGGTTTGTATAGTACCGCAAAAGTAACCGATACTGCTCCCGCCTTTATGAAAGAATACAGACTATCTTGGTATTGTTGTGTCAAGCAGCCATTCTACTTCTTGATTATTATGTTCTTTACACATTTGCATTCCGAATTTTCAACTAATCACGCCTTTGTGGTATACCCCCACATGGGGCAACTTCGACAAAGCTTGAGACAGTAGTGACAGGGGCTGTGGGTAACTTCAACAGGGGGCGGATATCTTCAGCAGTAGTGGGTCCTTAATTATGAAATTCAACTTAATGCACATGCCCCTCCCCTCTCTCTCTGCTGAATTCTCTGTCTAGATCTATCTCTCCCTCGCTGTCCTTCTCTTCCCCGCTGCCCCCTCTCCCTCACTCTCCGAGTATGCGCAAACACGAAGATAGATACGCACTCACATCATCAGGCCAACTAAGAGGTTCCTTCACCCTCTGATTTACTATTTTAAGGCGTATTTTAACCCTTATTTTAGGAACTTAAAGGGTAAAAGTCAATGTCTCATAATTCTATAGTAAGATTTTTTGCTTTTGCAAACATTTAACTCACACGCACATTCACACATACACACATAGAGTGACCATGACTATGATTGATTGACTAGAATTAGAGTTGTGTCCATTTGGAGGGGGGAAGAGTGGTGGTGGTTGAGAAGTTGGGTCTATCAAAAATAAAATAAAGTTGACAAACCAAAAGGGGTCAACTCCAATTATAATACTCCAAGAAAAATAGACCTGCCACTCTATGAAATCTAAAAGTCAGGATCTCAGTGGGGGAAAAAATTGAGACTTGGTGAAAAAAATCGGGATCAATGACAAGTCACTGCCAAGCTGACTTAAAAAATTCCAGCGGTGTCCATCATTATATCCATGTATATTCCCTCTGCGCGCGTGCGTGTATGTGGTATGTGTGTGTGTGTTTGTGTGAGAGAGAGAGCGTACCTGTGTGTGTTTTATCATTTTTTTAAAATCCATAAGTATCATGTCAAGGTTTCCTAGTCCAAGTGCTTTACACCTCCTCCCCCCCCCCCTCGGGTAAGTCCCAAAAGACGCTTCAACCAGTGTGCATGAACTTAAATTGACTCCGTCAACGACAGTCCCCGACACACGCGGAACTCACACGCCTAATTCATGTCACGTGGTGCAAAACGCGCGACACACGCGGAACTCACACGCCTAATTCATGTCACGTGGTGCAAACGCGCGATTGAAACAGTTTTACTGGCAGGTCTTGATGACGGGCCCAACTATCCAAAACTCGGACAAAGCATGTTTTGGCGAAAGTAGATCTTGAGAATGTCTTAAGTCGGAATGCCAAATCAATGCTACTTCAAATCCATTATAGTTGAAATAACACTTGTGAGCAAAGATCCAAGACAACTTTTGGTGAGTCAACTACTAAATTCGACATACATTTAGGAAAATAGTTCTCCGAGTTTCTGCTGACAAAAAGTTTAACGAGTACTTCCCACGACAGAAAAGAAGGCAAGAGTAAGATTTCAGAATAAAGGGGGGTAACAGGCGTAACAAAAAATTAAACCAAAAAAATTAGGGTACACGCGATCAAAATCGGAAAAAAACCGGGATGCTTGATATTTAGTCCAGGGATGAATGGCAGGTTTGGAAAATAAACTGATTCATTATTCTTCAGAGCCATCCCAAGGGTCACATTCCAGTCTTTCCACACTTCCGATGACAGACAATTTATGTTTACTAGTGTGTTAAAGAATGATGGGGGTAATCTCACGGCAGGGGTATACCAAAGGCACGACACCGGCAAATGTGATCGACCAGAATGTGGGCGGAGTTTCTGTTCTAAAGCAAGCCCGTGTTGCCGGAAACTGCGGGCAGCTGAGTAGTAGGTCGACTAATCGACTTCTGACACAGAAGGTGACTGTCGTGCATGAGTGTGGGTGTGTGTCAAATCATTGACTCGGCTTTAGGATAAGAGAAAGGGGGAAATGATGCTTGCCAGACGCACTCCACACCTACGTTTTAAAGAATGCAAACCCCCGAAATGAAATTATAAAGAGTAAAGCTCACGCACAACCAAAACTTAAAGGGGGGGTAATCTGCAGGTTTAATGCGTAATACATGCACATTTGTGCGTAAAGGGGAGCCCTGCCCTAGATCTAGAATCTAGATCTACCCCTACCCCTAGCCCTCAATTCTGCTCTGTCTCATAGTGGTCGCTCGTTACGGAAGTCCTCCCCTAGACTAGGCCTAGAATCTGGAGATCTCTAGATCTAGATCTAGAGAAATCTAGATCTAGATCTAGAACTAGATCTAAATCTAGATCTAGATTTCTAGATCAGTTTCTAGATCTAAATTGTAGTGTCACTTTTGTGATGTGAATGCGAGCATGAAATTCGTCAGATTTTGTCTGACTTAGAACTTGAATCACACAGATACAGCAAAACACGAACAGATTTATCTGATCTAAAATCTAGAGTAAGCACATTGGAGCAAATAAATAGAACTAGCCATGTAGATCTAGATCTAGATCTAGATCTAGTAAGTTCCTGTTGACGTTTAAAACCCTATTTATGCAAGGTATTTTTTGCGTGTGCAAGCACTGTTGTTTTGGGTGCTCATGAGCCAGTGTTTGCAATACAAAATGCAGAGAGGCAGAGGACAGTCGCAGAGATGGGATTTTTGTTACGTTGGCGCGGAATTTTGCAAAGAAAAGAATGCATTACCTTCTCAAAAACAGCATGTCGAGATTTTGTCTCACGGCAAGTATCCATCGCCCTTGTTCCAAAGACCATTATCCTTTGACAAAACAGATCAGTAATCTTTAAACCACCAGCAGAAATACATTTTCTCCTTCGCCCAATGCGGAAGCGACGTCTGCTGTTGGGAAGTTGACCTTGAGGTCAATCTATATAATTCACACCAATGCGAGATTTTGAAACTAGAATATTTTAGTTAAATCAAATTATTCTTTACATAACTTTACCGTTTTCTTATTTGATACACATTAGTCATTATCTTAAAAGAGAGGCACAAATAATAATGAGGATTGACAATAAACTTGCTGTGGCTGTCTTCAGACGCTATCTGAATTCAGTGTAAATACCAGCCCAGTGCAAAACGGCTTCACAACTCAATGTTTCGGAAGGCCTACAATATTTGCAGGGCAATTGGACGCATACGTGTACTTATTTTACTATATTTTTTCCTAGTCTTATTTTTCGCTTCTCTTATTTTCATTTCTTTTCGGGTCTGTTCTGTAGAATAATAATGTGTTTTTCGTACCATTTTTTTCTTTCTCTATATCTATATTCCTGAGTAAGGCAATGATGTGTCTGTCATCAGACCTGTCTAACTACAGTGAAACAATCTTCAGAAATTAGAAACGTAGAAGAATGTCTAGGTCTCAAAGTGAGTGGCGAAGTTGTAACGGAAAGCGCGGGCGTAACGGGTGTTGAATATAAAGAAAACGGAATGCATGGCAATCTTTTTAAAAAGCAGCAAATCCCATTTTTTAAAAATAATATGTAATCTCATAAGCAAAGGCGAAAAGATCAAACAAGTCCAACAGTTTAAACATCTAGGATAATAGCATCTGAAGCTAAATGTTCCACAGAAACAAACCAAGAATTGCAATAGCTAATAAGGCAGTTTCAATAAAATGAGCTCAATCCTGAAAAATAGAAACATCTCAATGATTGCCAAAAATGAAAGTTCTGAAATGCTATGCATGGTCAACCCTTCTATATATGGCTGTGAATGCTGGACAATCACTAAAGACAGTGAAAATAATAGAATCAACAGAAATGTGTACTTAGTTTCTTATAAGACTCATGCTGAGAAAATCGTGGAAGGAAAAACAAACAAACAAGAGAGTGGGCTACTTGATGAAGCCCACGTGGGACGCACACTGTGAAACAATCAGGTAAAGACAAATTTTGGGACACCTGAATAGACATACAGCTCTTGGACTTCTAGCTCTCACTGGCAAAACTGAAGGCAAATTAACAAACAGGGATGCACGCAGAACCTACTTATAGAACCTAAACAGACGAGTAACGGGGAAAGATCAGGGTAACGTAGATTTTATAAAGAGCATCCGAGCAAAGGAATGAATGGAGAACCATGATCGCCGATGTTTGCGCAGATCTGGCACTTGATAGTGATGATGATGATGATGATGATGATGATGACGATGATGATGATGATGATGATGATGATGATGCTGATGATGGTGACGATGATGAGGATGATGATGATGATGATGATGTGACGATGATGAATACCCACTAAGGCAACACAGAGAGCTGGTCTGCATAGAAATAAATGACGTACATGTACGTTAATCGTACCTGGCAGGCAAGTAGCAGACGCATGGTTCAGTAACGTCTGTCTACTCAGTTCGTGTCAGCAAAAATTGATCCCTTTTGTATTCTGTGTCCCGCACGTCTTCTTGTAGTGGGGGAGAATTTATATTATTTACTGTAGCTAGGGTGTTGTCTCTTTCTTTTCAAGTTACAGAATAAGGGAATTTTTTTTTAAAAATACGTTTTGCTCAAAACAGCATGTTTCCACATTTTATGTTATTTCCTTAGAAGTTAACCATTTGGGTTTCTCTTAGTTTGATTAAAGTATAATTTTTAGGCTAACCAGGCATCGGTCATGCAGGATAATATGGCGTGATCCGATGCTCTCCTTTACGGACCTCCTGAGCACTCCGTGCTTCTGTAACGTCTTGCCTTTTAATAACACGGAGCATTCTGGGGTATCTTTTGTGGAAGGCATTAACTACTGCTTGAATGCTTGGAATGGTGTGCCGTCTGTAAAGACTACGTCCAATTTTTGCAAGCGTTGGCAGGAAGGCAGAACAAGGCCTGCTCTATACACTTTGACTTTGAGCTTAGTGTCAAGGCTCAGTCCTCATCACATAAGTTGCTCTCTCTCTCTCTCTCTCTCTCTCTCTCTCT